TTTCGCAATTTGATTGGTTGACTAATCCCGTAGTGATATTTTGACTGGTCGATACAATGAGTGATCTGTGTAACGGATTATGAAAATCATATCTATATTTGGACGTTTCCTGTCCACTATGCTCTTTAGTTCAGTAGTTTGCATATCGAAATTTTTTCAACTCTAAAAAATTTAATCATTCAGGTGAGTCTAATTTTTTTCTCAGTCCAAAATTTTTCGATAACTCTGTTAAGCACGAAAAGCGCCAGCGGGCAGACTGGAATCTCTAGTTCTGTCGGAAGCCAGTAGTGGCAAGTCATCAGCAGATGGCCGGCTTTGAGTGAAGACGTCAGTCGCACAGAGTTATTGTGGGGATGTTGGGCACAAAAGACGCCAGCGGGCAGACTGGAATCTCTAGTTCTGTCGGAAGCCAATAGTGGCAAGTCATCAGTGATGGCCGGTCTTAAGTGAAAGACATCTCATTTTTAGGAAAGATTGATAAGCTCTGTTCAGCAAGACACTCACTTTATTTTATTTTACTCATCTTTTACGATTTTGAGAATGCCAAAAGCTACGGACAAAGAAAAGGAGCGTGTAAAATGGATGTTCGAGTGTGATAATCCTACGCCTCTTGCGTTCTATCGATTCATAAATCCAACTCATAAATCTCGCGCGATTGAAAAATATCTTAATACTATCAATTCAGTACTGGAACGCAATCGTAAAAACAAGGCGATACAAAAGAAGCTTACAGCAATACGAAAGAAATTTGACGTAATAATCGAGTATACTTTTTCATGCATATTTTATACCTTAGTATTAAGACTTGTTTTCTCTTTCAACTAGGATGGAGAATACAAACAAGACTGGGAAGTATGGATGCAGGAAAAAAGAGCGGTGTGCCAAGTCATTGCAAACTTTTAAGCTGTAAGTTTGTGTAACTAATACTAATATTCCTGATTTATAGGCTCAAGTTCACTGCTCGATTCAGAAGACCAATATAAACGTTCACAAGAAATTCAATTCATTAGTAGAAAGTCAGGTCGGTTATTACTCTTTCAATCGTGATTTATAGTGGTTGTAATATTATGCTCAAAGGATATTTTTAATACAGAGTGTTGATGTAAAACAAGACGAAGGCGAAGCCGATGACGATCAAGATAGGGAACGAGATGATCAACGATCACAAATAGAAAATGGATCTGATGCTGTAAATTTATTTCGGTACGATTCTGTTTACTGCATATTGACTAATAAATGGACATCCATTATTTAGGTTGCGGTTAAATCAGCGGGGAAAAAAAATAAAATTCAAGAACTTTTCAATGACATGAAGAAATGCAATATATATATGTTGTGTGAACCATTTGGAGAAAAATCAAGGATGGATGCGGGGGACTTTTTCGAGAGCATTGTTCGTAACACTACTGTTGAAGTTGATATTCCTAAAGATATCAAAAAATACCTCTCGATTTTGCTCACTGAGGAGGACGTTGAAAATGCGTTATCGAAAGTAAAGGAGCCACTTAACAGTGACGCGTGCCCATTACTGTTATGGACAAGTGAGATTTGTCGGCACTTTATTTTTTACTTTTATTACGGCGGGTTGCAAATAGATGGTGACGAAAAAACTTGGTCTAACCAAACGGTCTATCGCATTCTGGATTTATTTTCTATGTTTTTCGGAAAATTGACATCAGGAATTGCTCTGTAAGCCTTTAATTTTTGTACTTCTTTTTAATTATAAATTGACTTTGTTTTATTTCAGTGGAGAAATTGTAAATGAGGCACACAAAGATAGAATTTATAATATTAATGTTGATCAAATACCGTTAAGTTCAAGGAAAAATTGCAAGAACGATGCTGTTTTATATCAAGATGGCAATGCTACAGTTGTCTATGAACAGTCCTATGGACCCACAGAATTTGATTCAACGCATTACCTGCGAGATATAAGGAAATTGGCACGTAACGGAGTAGATGATCTAAATTATCACTTTTCACAATATGGAAAATCCTCCATTGCGACAGCCAAAAAACTCAAATCCATCGGTATACATGGATATAGTAGGCATTTTCTTTTTTATTTTTCGTTTTTCATGAATAGATTGTTTTGTGCTTACCTAGCTTTTATGTTTCTAGAATATTTTATTTCGATTTACCTCACGGACCTTATTTGCATGAAAACGTATAGGATATATGAAGTACTTAAGTGCAAAATTCCAACGACGTATACGGATCGATGGCTTCTATTTAAGATTGCAAATATTGGTGCCCTTTTGGAGGTATTTCTTTTTTGCTAGGTGTAGATATATATTGTATTTATTACAAGTTTTACTTATTGTTGTAGAAACTGCTCAAGGAGCGACAATCTGTGAAGGGAGAAATGGGTAAAGAAGACTCAATCAATGAAAATGGATCCGATTGTGTGCATAATTGGTTGTCGATTCCAGACAACATTTCAAAAACTCAGCGAAATTAGATGTAGCAATCATATGCATCGGGAAAATAAAATTTGATATTGTAACAAACTACTAATTGCTTTAATGACATAAATAAAAACCACGTGCGTTACAATTTGTAACGCCGATCACTTTGCCAAGAAAATTATTTCGGAAAAATTACTACACGAAAAAAATCACATGATACATTGTACGTTCCTCTAACCAAAAATCTTTATTAATAAAATATCGGTTCCTTTATTGTTACAAAAATATGGAACAACAAATACTATCTATCATTTGTTAGATTTTCATAATCGAAGTTTCTTATTTTCATGTTCATCACACATTGTAATCCTATCCCTTAATAACCCCACAATTATGCCAATTACTGCTTTAACACCCTTCCTGATTGATTCAAGATCCTCCTTCAATGCCGTTTTGGATAAATTAATCTGATATTCACTTTTGCTAGTACAATATAGCCCTTCTGTAGCGAGTTTAATAAAATGCCATTCTGTAGCTAGAAAAAAGATAATCAATCAAAGATATGCTAACGCTAGAAAATATATGACAAATTTTTTATGAGAGATTAACTTTACTATATCTGTAGAAACTATTCCGTAGAGATAATCTTCTTCATTTTGAAAAGCCTGATCCGCGGTTCGTTTCCTTTTATTCATATGGCTCGCACTCTCCAGTTGTTTTATATTTTGGAGATACCCAATTTCAACATTGCGTGGTTTTCCCTCAGCTATACATATAAGATCCT